TGTCACATCCCTGCTGTCTGGCCTATGAGAAATGCACTAGTGTTTGGTGCCTGGTAAGAGTCTCGCTATTAAGACAAATCAGAATTACACGTCAGACACAGAGATGCAATCTCTGTGTGAGATGCAATCTCTTTGCTTGAAGACAATACATTTAAAGTCTCACTTGTCTCTACCCTGTAAAAACAGACAAGTTCCTCACTCAGAAACAGCTCCACTTTGCTGTTTCCTCCCATAGGATTATTTCTTCTCATGCCCAGGGCTCTCCCTTTTGCTCATCCCATCCCTTCATGAACTCCCAGGAAAACCATGGCCAGACTCTGCCCAGCAGAAAGCAATGCACCACCCAGTCAAATTACGGGGCTGGATGGATTGCTCCTTCCCCTTGCTCTTGGGCAGCATGGGGAATACCCAGAGCTATAAACACGCTGCTCAAAGCCTATTGCGGGCAACCACAGGCTGGTTAACAAACACCACTTCCATCAAGGCCTCTTTGGCCAACGCTGCTCCTGCCTGAGTGCTTCATGGTTGGCTGCTGCCTAGCCACCAGCACCACATCCTTTTCAATCAGCCTTAGAGCCATCAAAACTGCATCAAATAGGCAAGGGGTCATGGTTTCACCATCAAGTACCATGGTCCTGCAGGCTATATGCCCTCACCCCAGTGCCCCAGCAGGGTGGCAGGAGAGGGGCTACTGCAATGCCCCAAAAGGGAATCACCAAATGTCAGCACGTCCTGTTGATAATGTGTAACTCACAGTGACAGTTTTGTTCCCTGTTATCCCTTCTGTCCAGAAGTGTGGTTTGGGATGGAAGGAAAGGTAGCAAAAGCAGAGTCTAAATGCCAGGGTGTTATTTTCTTTCCCCTAAAATACCTCCAGAAGAGAGGAACCTATAGTGAAACTGTGTTAAAGGGCCCAGAGCATGTGCTGGTGGCTCTTTGGAAAGAAGAAGCTGGAGAGGGAGAGAAGAAGACACCATAACCTCTTCCTCATTGTAAAAACAGACTTGGCTGTTAATTTTACCCCCAGGGCAACTTCTGGATGAGGAGAAGGGCTGCTGCTTCAGCAGCTGCTGTGGCAGCACTTGTAAAGAATATCATCCTCTGCATGGCAAGTTCCACATGCATTAATTCTGTGTGTCTACACAGATAACATAACCTGGTCCTGCCCTGGCTGTAGTGGTACTTAGGATACACATGTGATCTCATATAGGTATTTCAGGAGTGGGGGCCAGGCTCTTAGTCTGAGATGTTTCTGCTTCCCTAGACTGAAGTTATCACAGGGCTCAGGACTGAGGATGGAGATCAGGGGGGAACTGGAGATCACCAAGGAGCTGAGTGGACCGTGTGTGTTGAACCTGCCTTAGGAAACCCCTGGAGCACAAGTGGAAGCACTAGTCCCCAAAAATGACACCAACTCAAGAGCAGGTTTTGCTTTAAAAGTACAGTAAGAGTTTTCTTGAGGAGCTGTGCTTCTTGGGGCTCTGCAAAACTGCATTGGGCAAAGAAAGTCCTGCTGACTTTTCACTTTACCCATGTCCTGAAAGAGTCTCTTTCCATGTGCAAAACTCCCCTAAGGCAGAGAAACAGTTGTTTCACCCCACACTGTCCATAATACTTCTGTGCTTTGGGTTAAGTCTACATCCTAATCATGACTTCCAGGATTTAGCTGTCCACCTATATGTGACTCCAAGGTTGTGCTTTGAGATTAATACCAGTCATAGTTAGGGAAGGAGAAACATTCTTTAATGTGCTTTTAACTTCTTTTAAGTAAAAGGCTGCTCCATAAACCTCTTTGAAAAACTAAACCCCCTTCCTGCCAAAAAGAATCCCCATTTGGGATTTTTCTTCCTAGCCCGAATTGGAACAGGAGATTGGTTGAGGAAGCAGCTACCAGGTAAATTCCAGGTTAGGGGTACAGAAACTTGGGTTTTGACCTTTGCTGCCTCCATGCAACCTAAAGTGCAAATCAGACTCTTGAGAAACCTGGAGAACAACCTGTGCTGCCCAGAGGAGCAGCAGGAGGCTGAACACAAATGCTTTCAAGGTGGGTGCCATCAGTGCATGCCTTATGGTAGGGGGCTTCTCTATGCTAGATTCACTTGGTCCTTTCCAGTGAAGATGTGGTTAACCTCGGTTTGCCTGTGTAATCGACAGGAACCTTCTCAAAGGGAGCTGTCTCAGCTCCCACTGCAAGGGGAGGAGGCTGGTGTAATACCCACTGAGGGTGATGCGGGTTCTGCCAGTGCCAACTTCTCCCTCCACTGACTGTAAAGGGAGCAGACAGCTCTTCCCAACCACTCTGTCAAATGCCCAGCATAAAGAAGAAAGGAGCTGACTAACATTGTGGACCGCCAGCTGACAGAGGAAGTCTAACTGAAAACCAGGAGTGAACTCAAGGCCCCTAATGATAACACTTCCCCATTTCTCTGTTAAAATCCCTTTCTTCCAGGATCTAAGGCAAAGAACAACACTGCTAGAAAAACGACAGCTTCTGGAAAAGCTGTTGTTTCTGGCCACTAATACAATGAATGCTGAATGCCTTGCTGAGTGCTCTTCACAAGGCCAGGGATGAATTTGAACTGTAGGATGTGTTTTTCTTCTGTTCCTATTTGTCCTGAAGACAGAAATTGAGGTAATTCCCACCTTCCAGCCACCTTCTGCTCTCATTGTATCATCATATATATAACAATAGCACCTGTATGATTTGTACTTCATGTGTAACGGTAGCATGTTCTTTGCCTGTTGATTCAATCCCATCAGGTTTTTACCTCCTTTGCACGTATCTTTGCTGAAAAATCCATGCACAGGAGTTCTTGCTTACAGAGCAGAAAAAGGTAAAATGCAAGAAAGAAAATATACAGGTTTAATCCCAGCAGTTCTTTACTGAATCTCAAGCAATGGGAAAGATCCAGGTGCTTCAGTTTCCCACAAGGCTCCTTTATTAATCAGTGACCTGATGGAGGGCTTGTACAAACACAACATCAAAGCACATACTTAGTTCTGCTCCACCCAGCAGCAGGAGGCCCCAGGTGACATGGGAACAATGAGTCACCTCTGCGGGCAGGTGAGATCCTCCATCGAGATGCTATGGAGGAGTCACACCTTCAGCCTGAGCTGGAAGGGGACATGATAGTGATCAAGACCTCAATCTAACCCATAGAGAATCACAGATTGGTTTAGACTGGAAAGGACCTTAAGCTCATTCAGTTCCAATCCCCTGCCACAGGCAGGGATGCCTAGCACTAGACCACATCACCCAAGGCTCTGTCCAACCTGAACACTGCCAGGGATGGGGCAGCCACAGCTTCTCTGGGCACCCTGTGCCAGCGCCTCAGCACCCTCACAGGGAAGAGCTTCTGCCTTAGATCTAACCTGAACTCCCCCTGTTTCAGTCTGAACCCATCACCCCTTGTCCTATCGCTAAAGTCCCTGATGAAGAGTCCCTCTCTTAATCTCTATTAATCCACATATATTAATCTCTATTAATCTATATATATCAATCCATATATATTAATACATATATTGCTTCAATATCATCTGTACCGTCAGTAAAACCAGAGGATGACTGCCTCGGCAGGTACTTGTCCTGCAAGCCTGAAGATGGCAGCATGGGACAGACTGAGGGCCACAAGCATCAATTCCAGTTAGGACTGTGACTGGTGACAAACGTGCCAGGGCCACTTGCTGTGACAGTGCTGAATCCCACACATACCTCACCTCCAAAACTGAATGACCACATCCCAGTGGATAAACGGTCCCTGGCCTGTGCTGCCTGTGCGATGCTCTGGCTGACCTGAAGCACCTATCCCCATGGATGGCATTCAATACTGGCAGCCAGCAGCGCTCCCTGGCAGCTTTCCTGCTGTAGACATAACCCTCCCTTCCTCCAGAGGTCTTCCAAAGGCAGTGTGTCTTTTCCTGGCTGTAGCAGGCAGGTTCTGCCTTCACTGATCCAGAAAGGAAAATATCACCAGCACAATTTTGGCCTGAGTCTGGGAGTTTCTTCCTTGCAACTGTACTGCCAAAGAAATCAGTGGCAGGTCCCTCACTGGCTTCAGTCAAATCAGTATCCAAACAGCGCTCTGTAGGTAAGCCTTCATCCAGGCTGTTAATTTAGACTTTGAACCACTGGTTGGAGCCATTATGCACTTTTCTATACCTCTTTTTTAGCTGACTTTCATAAAGAAATGCGGGTACTGTGACCATGTACGTTTAGCTGATTGTATGTCATCTTCCAAGTCCCAGGAACTGTTAGTACTGTTGGCCAGTTTCAAATCACCATCCAGCTGGGATTAAACTCCTACCTCCAGGCAGCTAGACAAGCAGAGGGCAGAACCCCTCAGAAGAGGGCTGTGATGTGAGCTCTGCTCTTGCTGCACTCCTGAGAATCAGTGCACCCTCCACCTTCACATAGTAGAAGCTCAATACCTAGCAGTCGTCACCAACCATATTCATAGAATCCCAGACTGGTTTGGGTTGGAAAGGACCTTAAGACCATCCAGTTCCAACCCTCTGCCATGGACAGGGACACCTCACACCAGACCAGGTTGCTCCAAGCCCTGTCTAACCTGGCCCTTGAACACTGCCAGGGATGGGGCAGCCACAGCTTCTCTGGGCACCCTGTGCCAGCGCCTCAGCACCCTCACAGGGAAGAGCTTCTGCCTTAGATCTAACCTGAACTTCCCCTGTTTCAGTTTGAACCCATCACCCCTTGTCCTATCGCTACAGTCCCTGATGAAGAGTCCCTCTCCAGCAGCCCTGTTTGTTTTGTATTGATTTAGAAGCATCTTAGTTTCTGACTTCTTAAGTATTTAAGATCTCAACGTTGCTTTGAGGGTTTATCTTCAGTACCCACCAGTTCATTCTCTAGTCATAAAAAGAAATGACTCCTTTCTCTCCCAAACCCAGGACAAACAAGGTAGTTTCACTGCTTCTTTTTGTCTCTTAAAACAGAAGGCTCCACAGCAGGAGTTTAGTTACTGGGTTGATTTTCATTGCGTTGATTGTTGCAGCTCTTCAAACTAGCTGCTGGAGAACAGTGCAAGATTTGCAGAGGCAAATGGATGAATACTATTATACACCCAGTTCAGGTGATAATTACTCCTATGAAGATGTTTTTAATGAAAGCAATGTCTGTGAAATGGGCAGCTATTTTGTATTTTACACCCATCTCTCTACTGTCCTCTACACTCTGGCATTTTTACTCAGCCTGCTTGGAAACAGCCTAGTGTTGTGGATCCTATTCAAATACGAAAACCTCACATCTTTAACGAACATCTTCATCATTAATCTCTCTGTCTCTGATTTAGTCTTCTCCTGCATGCTGCCTTTCTGGGCAGTGGACCAGTCCTTTGGGTGGATTTTTGGTGAGTTCCTCTGCAAGGCAGCAAATGCTGTTTTCTCCATCGGCTACTACAGCGGTGTTTTCTTTCTGACACTCATGACGATCCTGCGGTACTTGGCTGTAGCGAACCCACTTTCAACCTTGAGATCCCAGATGCAGCGCTGTGGGTTTCTGGTGAGCTTGGCTGTTTGGACTGGTAGTACATTAATTGTGGTTCCTGAGGTTATCCACACCACAGTGCAAGAAAACCTGGGGGACAAGATCTGTGATTATGATGATTGGAAATGGAAGAAGGTGGACGTTTATCAAAGAAATGTACTCTTCCTGCTTTCCTTTGGGGCTATTGTATTCTGTTATGTCAAGATACTGATAATCCTGCTCGGATCAAGATCTCGCAGAAAGCACAGAACTGTGAAACTCATCCTCACCATTGTGCTGGCTTTTTTCCTGAGCTGGGCACCTTACAACATCCTCAGCTTTCTGACTACTTTTCCATCACCCACCTGTCAGTATGAAAAAGACTCCAACCTTGCCTTTTACATCAGCCGTAAAATCGCTTTCTTCCACTGCTGCCTCAACCCTGTGCTCTATGTCTTTGTTGGAGTCAAGTTCAAGAGGCATTTGTTCCGTTTATGCAGTCAGTATTCACCCTGTGGCCACAAACAAGTCTCCAGCCCCAGGGTCTGCTCTCAAGGCAAATTCCACTATGAGAATGCATCCATCTACTGAAGCAAGACCTCACTTGTAGCACTTACCCTGGATGAGCTTTCCAATTCTAAAAGCCATGGATAACCTCTAATTCTTAGAGGCACTTCCCTGAGAAAGACACATAAATTTACCTTTGCAAACATGCTGTGTATGGAAAGTCACAACAAAATGTACTTGCAGTGGGATGGGGAGCTAAGGATGCTGCGAAATGACTTCATGGGCCTGTAAGTCTTATCTTTATGTTTTGTGCAGTGAGATGGGTTTTCTCCCATGTATAGTTTCTTTTTAAAAGCAAAAGAAATATGTTCACTTTTTCTTTGGGAGCTGAAACATTGGGTTTTAACACAAGCAGCGTTACATGTTGCTTTGTCACCTGACTTAGAATACATGGGTTGTATATAGCAATGGACACATCTATTTCTATAGCCTCTAAGGATTTACAGTGTTTATCAGTGCTGAACTCATTGGTTATCTCTTCTGGGGACCCTCAGGATTAACTGGCCTGATAATAGCTACAAAAACTCTGAGTCTCTGAAGTTCTCAGCACAAATGTTCTTTTATCTATTAGTGTATATATATATATAAGTAGCTTAGTGTAAAAGCAGTCTTTCAGATCTGAAATGGGAAGTTTAGGAGAGCTCTAGAAGGAACACAAGCTGTTAAGCAGACACTTCACTAGGATAGTAGTTTTCCTCCTGTTACTTCAGGCACCTTCCAGCCTCTGAATATCCCTTCAGGAGTTTGCAGAGGATCAGCAGCCCATCCTCACAGCAGCACAGGAGCATATTTGCCTCCAAATGCTCTCTCCCTTTCTCCTTTTGCAACGGAGCTGAGAAGACTTAAACTTTCTAAGAAGGTTATAGCACAAGTCAGTCCTGGTATCCTATTACTACAGATATTGCCTAAAACTTAAAAAAATTGAACAGGTTACTCATTAATCCCAAAGTGTTCAGACAAATGGAAAGGCAGAGGTTGCCATGTGTTTTGTGGTGAAGACCAGCCTTTGGCTCTCGTCACCTGATAAAGAGGCATTTGAAATGGATGTGGCTGTTTCTGTGCTCTTCAAGAGACTTTGGACTGGAGACTCAATACCCTCAATTATGAACAGACAACCTACTGAAGGACTAATGAGTCCAAATTCTTCTTCTGTTTTGCTAAGCCAGGACCACATCACAGGCACCAGCAAAGCTCTGCAAGAGGAAAATGCTACGATGAGGAGTGAAAGGTCTCGTGCAACTACATCATTTCAACAAACTGTCCTTCAACTCCTGGCACTAGAGCTATCCTACCCTGAAATCAATACATTTTACACGTCTCTAAAAAACAGTCAAGAATTAACAGAAGCAATAAAATGAGAGATTGAAATACCCTGCTTTGTGCAGGCTTGAACAGGTTATTTAGTTGTCTGTAGCTTGAGCATGTTTTGTTACAGTATGTCTGAGCATGTAAAGGGAATACTTAATACTGCCCACTTGTACGGCTACCTACCATAACCAAAGTAACTCAGAATGTGGAGATTTCCCCTCCTCACCTAATAAAGCGGTACTAACAAACATTCAGGAATTCGATGGAATACTACACTGTGACTATGGTTCTCTGCCTTTGATAACCACCTATTAAAGTGGTGGTTTGAAGTGGTATTTGAAGAAGTTACTGTGAATTTTCATAGGTTCATTTACCTTGGAACAGTCCTCCAAGCTAAGGTGGAGGAGGATGTTCCCAGTTAGACAAGGCTGCTTGGGGCCTTGTTTGGTCAAACTGTGACAACCTTCAAGATCAGGGACCGCATAACTCCTCTGTGTCCCTGTTCCAATGCTTAACAACTCTCATGGTGGATTTTTTTCCTTCTACATGAACAAAATCTCCTTTGCTGCAACCTGGTGATGTTGTCTTTTCCTTGCCTTCTCTATGTCTTTGCTGGCTGTTCCCAAACATTTTTGTCCTGCTTCTGGCTGGTAATGGCTTCCAGGAGGATTTGCTCCACCATCCTTCAAGGGCATAGGGATGAGACTGACCAGTTCCCTGGATTGTCCTTCTTGCCTTTTCTGAAAATGGGCATGACCTTCGCCTTTTTCAAGTCATCATGGACTTCCCTGGTCATCATGGCCTTTAGAGACGATAGCACCCTGCAGTGGTACTGGGCAATCCCTTAGAAACTATCACATGCATCCTGTCCAGTGCAGACAACTATATATCCAGTCTACTTAAGTTGTCCCAAAGCCATTCTCTTCTGTGTGGGCTGGATCCCTCTCTCCAAACTCTGCTACTAGGCACAGAAACGTATAAGGCACTTCCAGCTATAGCCATCAGGAACAAGAAATACATTGGTGTAGCTTCCATCTTCGTTTACACACATATGTTATTAAATAGCTATATTGCTAAGGCCATAGGATGTGTCCCGTGCAGGTCTAGGGATGGGCAGCCTTTGCATCTCTTTCTCTCCAGGACCCCCAGATGCTTGGAAAATACAGACAGCTCCGGATAAAACATAATCCTCAGGGGACCTTGAATCTTTAATTTCACTTCATCAGTCAAATATTATGTGGTCTGAGCAAATACAGAACTGAGAGAAAGAAGCCTATGAAGTGAAAAAGGAGAAATTAATTGGGTTTGGAAACCACAGTCTATCTGGGGGAAGGGAGTGGTGTCAGACTGAGTGGTCGGAGTACTACAACTGTTGTACAGTGCCAGGATGGCACCTCTAACCCTAGTTGCACGTTACAGTTAAATGCACATGCTCTCGCTGCTCTGATTAAGTCCATACTAAATTCCACCCAGTGGGAATGGGAAGACAACGGCTTCTCTCACAAGCAATTTAGCTGGATTGAGCCCTTCTCCCTAGCTGTCTTTACAAGCCGGTCAACACAAAGCTGAGCATCACTAACACAGCCTGTCAGAGCTCCCACCTTCCGTGCAGCCATGGGAGCTTGTACCAGTAGGGAAGAATCCCACTGGTAAGGGTCAAGTCACCAAATTCATCCTTTCCACTGCTAATGCAAACTGACATATAAAATAAGCAAACTTAAAATCTACACATTTCAGAAAGCATCCTGTTCCTGCTAAAATAAAAGATAATTTTGCTTCTGATCATAGAGCAACAGTCAGACTCATAAGTGGGTGCAATGAATTGGGCAAAGCACAGCATGCACCGCTTATTGCCAGAAGGATTTTCACAGGGAGTCAGGGTATCTCCATCTGTAACTCAGTATTTTGAAAATACCATCAGTGTTATTAAAATCATAAATAAAATTCTATTGTATCTTCTCCTTATGGTTACTATTCAGCAGTTTCAAATGCTCTTGCTCATCCAGTGTTTAAATAGGAAGGGCTTGTGTTAAATTGAGAGTTTCACTGATAAATGAAGGGAATTTACAAGAACATACATGTATCCTCAGTTTTATGTCAAAAGAGCAGTGTAATACGGAAGATCCTGACTGGAGAGAAGCAAAGAACTGAGAACGGCAAAGGGAAGTGCAGGGAGTGGGGTACTCTCTCCATAGATGGGAACTGATGAGATACCAAATTTAAGGTAACTCTGAGTTTCTTTCACTGCTCCAAACAATGCTGCATTCTGAGGTCAAGTTCTCTTTCTCGGTGGTGATAACCTTCCAGCCCTCTGAACCACCTCTTAACCTCCTAAACCTCAGTATTCTCTTTATACATATGCCATACATCTCAGTGTATATAAAAGACAGCTCATTTAAACTGCAGAGTCCAGAGTCTGTGCCCTGGTTCTCCCATATCGTTGCTGCTCCAGTTGAATCAGCATCAAACCAGCTCTACCTGCTTTGTCCACACATGAGTGAAATTCAGCCAGTTCTGAGCAGTAGTAGCTCCTAAACCTGCTGTGCTCAGGTGGAAGTCAGTCTCAGAAGCTGACAGCTTCCAAAAATCAAAACTCTTGACCCTCTTTTGTTGCTAAGAAAGAAGAAAATATAAGGAATTCCAAGGGATTTTGGTCAGGTATGGGCATAACTGGAAACAGCCGTTTTTCTCAGAAGAAATTGTCTGCATAAACAGGAAAGAATACAATAATTAATGTCAATTATTAAATATTTCAGACAGTAGCTTGTCACTACATAATTAAAAAGAGGAACACTCTGTTGTACTTGATTATTGTTGAGTGAGAAGTAAAACTGCACAAAGACTTAACTAAAAGGCCATTGCAGTGAAATAATGTGGGGTTTGATTTATCATTATTTGCAACTGATGACCCTGAGGCTACTTTTGGAAGACACCCACTTGTCTGCTGATCAATGGTAGACATTTGTTTTCAGCAGATGCTCTTGGCCCTGTAGTCCATGATGCCACGATGATGACTACGAACAGGGGTCAGCCTGAAGGCTGCTTCTGAACTATGCGAGACATCCCATCATGGTTCACAAGTCATGTACTCACATCCTCAGCCCTATTGATAGGTGGATAGACTCCACAACTCGATAAAGCTGTAAAGTAGGTATGCTTTATTCAGTGCTGAGGCGCATGGGGGATCGCTCCTCCAAAGGCATGTGCACCTTTCCTTTGTTATTCAGTTTATTTATATTACATATAATGATTATATAAACATGAGATTGCTTCACACCTAATACATATGCAAAACCTATTCCCATCTAGTATTATAATTAGTTTCCTGGCATTCGTCCCATTAATGCGCTTGTGCAGTGCCTCCAGGTGGTGGTCGTTACGGGGTCGTGAGGATGAAGGCCTGTAGTTCCTCTTCATCACTGCGAGTAACCTCTTGCTTTCACGCATACTCAATAGGGTTTTTGCTCCTATCCAAACCTCAGGCTCGGTACAAGCCGGTTTTATGTATCTTAAAGCAGAAACTTGTCAAGCTTGCAATTCTGTTACTCTGGTTATCTTTTGTTCCTTTTCTTTCTATAGATACTATTTAAACAAGAATCTCTTCAATGTTCATCACACAAGTTATGAATCTTATCTACTACAGTTCTGCCCAGCAGCTGTGACTCCTACAATTCTGCTTCACCATTCTAGCAACTTTAACTCCTACAGTTCTGCTTGACCAAGCACACTGACTGCTTAAGCAAGCAGGTGCAATGTTAACCCTTTATTCCCAGGTATCACTATAACCTGCACTTCTGAGGGCATCAGAATACTTCTGAGCTATGCAAAACCATGGGGAAGATTAATCACCAAAACTTACGGTCCCTTAGTCATCCTGAAGTTGAGGATATAAAAATGAGGATGATGGTGACACATCAGTGACTACATACTATATGTATTTCCTCAAGAGCGTTGAAAATATGACGCTTTGACCTTATGGCTGCCTTAACCTGAAGATTATGACGCTAACATCATCACAAGCATTGCGACCAGAATTGGTGACAAACTGTTTGGTCACGAGTTTTATTTAAAACCATTTATTTACCAAAGCAACGTGCAAAAAAACCCCATAGAAACTGAGTTTTCAAGTATGCTTCAAGTTGCAATCCAGCGTAGCCTATTTCAGATGCTGTGAAAGGAATGACCTTAGAGCATCACATGTTATGGAAGGGTTAAGATCTGGATAGTGGAAGTACTTTGCTTGTAGGAGTTGGTGTGGAAGTGTTAAGGAACTCCATACACCACACACCCCCTGTATGCCACCTTAGGAAGGGGACCTCTTCCAGTTTCACACCCGCTTCCTCACAGTTCCTTCCCATTTGTAGCCTTTACTAATCCCTACCTACGCCTTTCAGCTGTGGGAAGAGGATTTTCCTTTCATCAATCAGGGCAGAAAGGAGGAATCCGCTGTGCCCTGGATTTGCTTCCAACTGTCCATACAAAGAGCTTGATGAACTGACGCACAAAACCCAACATAACCCACAGCAAACCAAACCCCGACAACAAACCACGCTGAACCGTGCGAAGAGCAAGTACTGTATTAAAAAGTTACACTTCGTGCCCGTGCTTGGGGGTACCAGCAACACAGCCCCCTTCAAAGTAACCCGAGACCCTGCAGCTGTGCGGAAAAGCGGCTATTTCCCCCACAGAGCCATTTAAAACCCCTCCGTTTCCACCCGGCCTCCCCGCTGAGGCGGCCCTGGGCGGGCAGCGCACACCGCCCCGGGGGTGGGGAGGCGCGGCCAGCGGCCTCACGGGAGTTGTAGGCGGCAGGGAGCGGCGCCGGAGCCGGAGCTTCACCCCGGGGCCGCCTCTCCGCGACATGGCGGCGGCCGCGCAGGTACCGTGCGACAGCCCCCGCACACCCCGCTGAGGGAGCGCGGCGGGACGGAGGGAGGAAAGGAGGGAAGGGGGGAAGTAACTTCGGCGGCTTCCACTTGTTGCCGCTCGGAACTCGGCTCCGAGGGGAGGAGCTCCGGTGGGGCGGATGGAGGGGGGCAGAGAGCTGAGCTGCGGCCCCTCAGCGCCGGGGCGGCCTCGGCCCTCGGCCACCTCTGCCCGTGGTCAGGGGACTGGCTCCGCGGACAGCGGCCCTGGGGGGTGGCCCGTGTCCCTAAGGGGGTGGCAGCCAGCACCCAGGCGCCGTCATCTCAGGGGTCGTTGTTTGTACCTGGTGAGCGGTGGTTTTAG